TTGGTCAAACCAGAGTGTTGAAAAATAGAAAGTCTATTACTGAAAGATGAAGCTCCAGATTAGAAATGCAGACATAGTATTCACTGGAAGAAAGCAAGCCCCTGATTGTAAATATTTGTAAATAGTTGCACCAAATCCCAAATCCACTCACACACAGAAACCGTCTAGTCTTAGAAAATAGGTTAAGTGTATAAATGTACTAGCTGACATATGGATAAGCACTACCACACACAGAGCATCACTGCTAAAATATATTAGATGGGCAGGATGATGGTGAGATACTTCTTGTGGGATGACATACTCGTTAATTCCACTCATGTTTGCAACAGCTTTATGGTAATGGGCTCATTTTGGTTCCTATTCTGAGAAAAACATCCCATCCTTCCCATTGGCATCTTCAACCCTCTAGTAAGTCCCAGGGCATACCTGGAGACATCTAAAAAGGGGAAAACAGTCCAGAAAATTACATTTCAGATTAAGCTTCATATGCGATCAACTGAACAATGTATACACACAAACCCAACTAGCTGTGGAAGGCAGCCTTGCATGGACAGGGAAGAGCTGGGAGGTTGGCACTGGGGAAGGCTGTGCACTGCACTGCTCTCCCTGCTGCAGTGCCACAATGGCTGCCTTCTGCTAAACATTCCTATAGGGTGGGAATTCTTGTGTACCTAAACCACTCATGAACAATTCATAAGCATAATGGGAATTAATTGACTAAAATATGTGCTGTTAGGCAATTTGTCTCTAGCATGTTCTCTGAAAGCTACGTCCATTCAATTTCAAATTATTCCAAAGACATATGGATATAACTTTTGATTTCCTCTGGCCCTCAGGACTCTAATGTCTGAGTATTTTACCATCTGTAGCATACTTATTCTCACAAGACCTCTGTGATGTAAAGAGGGACTATTAAATCCATCTTAAGGATGAGGAATGAGAGCCAGAACAATGCTGGGATCAAGCAGGTGATCTGAGCTTGAGCTGGGTACGAATTGAAGCTTTAATGATCATAGACTAAAGCCTTAATTACTGCATGTTTCCCCCCAAGTACTGTCTTTTCTGAGAGCTTTTTCAAGCTAGGAAATTCTGTAGAGTTGGCAAAAATTCTATGAAAAAGATTTATTTCCTTTTTCACAGTCTATAGGACTTTTTTGCAGATTGGAAGACTGGAAGGCACTGGAGAGTGAAATCTGACACAAGTGAAATAGGTTTACAAACATAGCGCGAAGATAACTTCCTTGATATCAGTAAGATTGGAATTGAAGCAAGGCCTCAAGGAGGGAGGGGATGGGAGAATTTCCTTATAGCAGTGGGAAAAAAAAAAAATCCACAGGAGTGATGCTCTTCACTTTTCAGATTGTATCAAATTTAAGAGCACTATGTGGCTATTACCCAGCACCGTCAGCTCTCCTGTATGAGCTGCAGATCAGTTTAGTTTTTCAGCCTGATTTGTAACTCAGCCCCTGCTGCCCCTTATTGCTTTCTGTTCTTCTACAAGTTTCTAGGCCTGAAACATACCTTTTATTTAGGTACTAGATCACATATTACATGTATCTAAACCACTGCCCATAGTTACTGCCTTTCAGATTTGCTAATTTCCAAAAATTCTATATTCTCCAGTTGTATTAGGTTGCATTTTTTTCAGGCTGAATCAGTTTGTTACTTCCAACCCATATTCCTTAACTCTCAGTGTGGACTTTCTTATTGTTATGTCTGGCCTCCTTCACGCTCACTTCACAAACCTAATTACTGTAGGTTTACTTTCCTTTTCCATTGAATCAATATTGACAAGCAGTGAGATAATCCCTGAGTATGGATAATTCACTGCCAGTTTAACCTACTGCCATTAACTATTACTCTTCATTTATAACCCTTCAGGTAACGAATGTACCAACCACGTGCTTATTTACTTCCCAGTCAGTTTAGAACAATTTTCCAAGTTTTCAAGAAGAAATGGACAAATTCCGCTCTCATATATGGCTAGATTTACTCCATAGATGGTATCAAACAAATCACTGATGCTGATTTACATGCTGCAGCCAGTACCAATAAACAGAGGATGCTATTTTATCTCTCCTTGACTATCCTGATAGGACTGGTTTCATTTTTCAGTAATTCTTTGCACATGAATGATATGTGATGATGCAAGCATGGGATTCAAGAGCACATGCTCAGGCTGCAAAGTATGCATCACATCAAATGAAATCATTGATGGTAAGTGCTATTAGCTCACAGCAAATACACTTAAATCTACAAAGTAAAAAGTTTAAGTTCTTTTCAATGATTTTGCAACTAGTAAAGGCTTAGAGAATACATACAGTCAATTGCCATGGCTTGGATTACTTATGTCAATTTAATTGTATTTTTGAAATTGAGCATGATAGATCTATACTGTAAATGCCTATAACTCACAGTTCCATTGTCTCTGATATTCTGATACGTATGACATATGCAAATTTATTATGAATCACTGAGAGCAAATAAAACACCAGTCTTGCCTCTGAGTTGTACTGCATGAGTGAAACTTTGATTCAGGTTCTGATGTGACTTAATTCTACCTGGACTTACTCAGAATATGTTTTTGATTGAATTACACTAATGGAAAAGCTAGAATTGTTCAGTATTCTGGAGAAAAAAATGAGTATTTTGAAGATAGGTTTTAGTGATTAAATGGCATTCTCTGAGTAAATTTTGAAAAACTCCTTAAATAATTTTTTTTTCTTTTCTTTTTTACTGGGTAAGGTGCTGTTTCTGAGAAAAGGCAAAATGAAGCCATAAGAGCTTGTGACAAATGAAATGATTATGGACACCCATACCCCTATTACTGATTCATGTATTTACAAGAAATCCTTTAAACATGTTGCCCAAATGCAAATGCTAGTAATTATATTTGGCCTTCCTAAATATTCCCATTATTGTTTCAGATGAAGACATTTTTTTTAACTTCCCTTACTCAAAAAAGCTGTTATTCCTGGCATGGTATGGCTACCCTATTCTTCTTCAGCAGTAACTGCACTTCAATGGTGGGTGAAGAATGATTTTTACACATACAGTCTGTAAAACTCTTTGGGATCTGTCATGATGAAAGGTGCTCTGTGTACAACACTATTATTAACTTATTGTATTTCATCAGGTTATTCTATTTCACATCATGTCACTCTACTGAAAAAGCCTTGCCAAAAAAAAAAGCTGTGCAATTTCATTAATTGAGAAAACAGACTCCTTCAAGAGGCAATGTAGCATGCAGGTAGCTTGGAACTCCCCAGGAGTTCAGGCTGGCATTGTCAGAGCATGTAGGGACATCTGCGGTTTCAGTGCGCGTTAGGTGTGAAACACTGTGTGTTATAACGTACAGTGAGATGAAGGATATCAACTGAATTGTGAAGGAGGAAGGATAAGAACTGATTATGAAGAATGCTTAATATATCAACTTTTGAATTAATACCTCTTTAGAACTACTGGAAATGATCATTTATATTTCATTAGTTTATGCAGATGGATGTCATTTGGCAAGTTCTGAAACAGTTGTTTAAGCTTTTTAGCAGCTCTAATAGAAAACATCTGAGTCTTCCTAAATGGAAAGCTTCTATTCAATTTTTCATTACTTTAAGAGATAAAATAAAACCATTTGTTATTTTCATTTATTTTACTGGAAAGTCAGTGCCTTTTTCCTTCAATAATTCTCTTTTCCCCCCCCCAGCTAGCTATCTGTAACGCTATAAATTTTATCATGTAGCTTTTGTAAAAATTATGGAAGACCATTGCAGCTAAAGAACAAATACAGTGAAGGTCAAACTTAGTATCTGAATGATTTTTTATAACACTTGTGACTGTGACTCCTAAAGTCTTAATCATGCCGAACCAACTCCTAGCTTTTTGAATGTATTCCAGAACACGTCATTTTAAAGAAGGAAGTTAGACCCAGAACCAGATCTAATGGATTTTCAAGTAAAAAAAAAAAAAAAAAAGCAACTCACATCAGCGCTTTATTACTGGTTTTACAAATTCTTACACAAACAAACAAGTACTACTGTGATTAATTTATTGTATTTACAAGGCCTCATAAATCTACAGGCATTCTGTGACAATATAATAACAAGTTTTTTTTGAAGGTTGTAGCTAATAGTCCATCTAACACACTTTCCTTAAGGCTGAACTGCAGATTTGTTCCACATCCTAAGAAAAAGGCAGTGCATTGCTGCACTGCCGCTAGCAAAGACCAGAGATGTGCTTGCAATTTTGGGGACCACTTTCTGCTCTGGTCACCTCGATGATGTGAGGAGGCAGTGATTACATCAGATCTCTGCCCCTTAAAGGGTGCGTTATATGAAAGACTGGCCAGCACAGCATGCTCTCTCCTCTTCTCTTTGCACTTTTCACACTTCCAAGCTATCAGATGGACCTAAATTACTTTTCTTATTTTAACTGAAAGGAAAAGCAAACCTGTCAGAGATGGATCAGATTGTTTTTTAAATCACACTGTTCTGGGCACAGGGGAGTTAAAACTTAACAAGGGTGATTCTTCTTTGGGCAGAACTGTTGATCTGCTTGAGGGTAGTAAGGCTTTACAGAGGTATCTGAACAGGCTGCATTGATGGGCTGTGGCCAGTGGAATGAGGTTGAACAAGGCAGAGTGCCAGGTCCTGCATATGGGCCGCACAACCCCATGCATCACTACAGGCCTGGGGAAGAGTGCCTGGAAAGCTGCTCACGGAAAATGACCTGGGGGTGCTGGATGTGGGCCAGCTTGTACCCAGGCAGCCAGGAAAGCCAACAGCATCCTGGCCTGTATCAGCAATAGCGTGGCCAGCAGGGCCAGGGCAGTGATCATCCTCCTGTACCGGGCACTGATGAGGCTGCACCTCAAATCCTGTGTTCAGTTCTGGATGCTTCACTACAAGAGAGACATTGAGGTGCTGGAGCAGAGAAGGGGAACGGAGCTGGTGAAGGGTTTGGAGCACAAGTGTGATGGGAAACAGCTGAGGGACCTGGGGGTGCTTAGTCTGAAGAAGAGAAGGCTCAGGGAGGACGTTATTGCTCCCTACAACTGCCTGAAAGGAGGATGGAGCTAGAAGGTGGCTGCTCTCTTGTCCCAAGGAACAAGTGATAGGACAAGAGGAAATGACCTCAACCTGCCCCAGGAGAGATGCAGATTGGATATTAGGAAGAATTTCTTCATTGAATGGGTGGTCAGGCATTGGAATAGGCTTCCCAGGGAAGTGGTGGAATCACTGTCCCTTAGAAGTGTTCAAAAATTGTGTAGATGAGGGCCTTAGTGACATGGTTTAGAGGTGGTCTTCGCAGTCCTGGGGTAAGTCTGCCTGAAAAGCAGAATTTCTCACTTTCCAAAAGTCAAAAAATTGCTCGAAATTAGACTAGACTGAAATAACTTTTCCTAGACTGCTTTCTGGGGAAGGCACCAGGTAGCAAATGCACCATGGCCATAACCTCTGCAGCTGTGAACTCCTTATTAGCAGCCCATCACAGTCACTGGAATAAGAGTGGCACCTGGGTTAAAGCTATTGTTGCTGTACACTACGGGGCAGGCTGTACTCTTTTCACAGCTCTTCTTTAAATGCATAATAATGCAGTGTTAACATAGAAATAAAAATCTATGTTACAGTAGGATAGTATAGGTTAAATTGAAAACTAAGGTTTCTGATTTCTGAAACAAAGGCAGCTATACCAGAATATTTTTACCACACTTTTGCTAAAATCTTATTGGGCATTCTTCTCAGCCCCCTGTGGCTGTAAGCACAATGGGTGGACTGAGGCATTCGCTGTGCCTATGCTGCTTGGCTTTAAGTCAGCCTTCTTAACAGTATCTCAGTGGCATTTTCCCCAGGCCAATTCCCTTTGTTGAGTTGTGGTTTGGGTTTTTGTTTTTCTTTGTAGTCTTTATTTTTTTACAGGAAAAAATATATGTCACTGAAGAACCACATGAGAAACAGTCTTTGTGACATATCCTCCATCTCAATGGAAATGCCCCCAGTGTTTCATTTTAATGAAAATACTGTAGGGTTGCACTGAAATATATAGCTTCTTATAAGTAAATTCAAGCAAAACCAGAAAAAACATACTTGCTACCCTAGAGTGAAGTATATTAAATGCCACTCATTCATTTTGTTAGAAATGACTGATGAAGGAGAAGATCAACAGATGTAACACAGTAAGAAAGAAGGTGAGAAAGTTCCAGTGGAAGGGAGGAGTGCTGGGCAGAGGATGTTGAACAGCTGCTTGCCCCAGTGCCTTGTGTGGCCCCAGTGCCCTGTACGGACAGAATAAAGGTGGTTTTAAGATACCTGTCCATTCAAGACCAGTAAGAGACTAATCACATATGGTGAACTATATTTTCTGAAAAGGTGGGGTAAGCTTTTGCAAATTGCACTGTGTTCTTGTTGGTAATAATTTGGGTTTCACTACTTTGTAGAACTATCATAAAGAATTAACAATTATTTTACCTTTAAAGCAAATAAATCTGTTAGTTACTGACAATAAATATAACTGACTAGCAAACACAGTGTATAATGGTAATAATTAAATCAATAAATTCCATATATTCGTATTTATAGAGCTTCTTTCAGACCTGGAATGTACTCTTAGTTTAAGACTTGGTTAATCCATGCTACTTCTTACACAATTTTAATCTTCCATTAATGGTCAGAAGTTTATTTTTTGTTTATGACAATTACATGGTTATTATGGGTCAAACAGGAGGCCTTAGGAAAAATGCTGGATGGAAGAGAGGGGGAAGTGCTTTGAATGTTGATACAGATTTAATTCAGAACTCAGTTCTTCCAGGCTTTTAATGATGTTTTCTTTCTGGAAAGACATGAGAGTCGTTTAATTCATGTGACCTCTATAGCACTGAGGACAATGCTTTGATTTTTTTTTTTTTCTTTACTATGCTTTCTGTTTCACCTTTTTTATCTGTTCTATTTAGACGTCTTTGTTACTTATCAGATGTGATGTTCAAACTCTGCTGTAATTACAACTTTTTTTCTTTCTCACTTTTTGTTTATTAATGTTGATACATTAGATTGTCTAAATATTTTGAGAACTCTTCAGGGATTGATAGAGGGCAATTAATATCAACTGTTGATATTCTCTTTTCTTTTTCCCGTGCTCTCAAGATCTTATCTTTAACCTAGATTAAAGGGATGGGAGAAGGAGAGGAATTCAAATCATTTGGACAAGGATTTAGAATCTAAATGTCTTCAAAGTTGTGCTCAGCTGTTTTGTTTTAGCCTTCTGCAGTGACAGGAATCATCTGAGGACTTTGGATTTGGAGCCAGGTTTGGATTCCTTGGAAACGCCTCACACACAGAGGCAAAGATAAACACACAAACATACACACAAACGTTCAGGCTGGATGGGTCACCTCTAGCTGCATATTTATAAAATTAATCTGGTATCATAACAAGGTTAATAGCGGAATAATCATAGGAAAAATAGATGATCAGTGAAAAACTAGGAACCCTCTAATTGCTGGAACAGTATTGCTAGACCCTGTTCCCTCTTCTATAAGCCAGTCTGGCACGTAAAGCCAGGATATTAATTTTATGGATGAAGCAAAAAGTCTTCTAGAAAACACTGAAATTTTAAATGCTAAAAGATTCTGTCTGTCTCTAATGAGATAAAAGATGGCCCTGAATGTGAGCTCAGCAGTTATAAGTGTACCAGATGCACTGCACTTATTCATGCACACAAGCCTCAGTGGGGCAGACAGAATCCCAAACCAGTGCAAGACCTGTTTTACAGCAGACTGAAGCCTTTTCCTAGAAAAAATTGGGCAACACCTGTTAAAGCTGGCAGGAGCTAGAGAAAGCTCTCTTTGACCCCAAAAGTGTGGGAGGTTAGAAAGATGCACTTGGTATTGACTCGTGGACAATTACTAAATGCTGGCAAAAGGATAGCTAGGTACATGATCTGGAAATACTTAACCAAGAGAGCAAAAAGAAATTCATACAGAATCCAGGGCACATCAGTTGTAATTCCCCTTTCCTCTTTAGTCAACTTTGCATTTCTCCCTTTTTTTTGGTTTTTCATATTTCACTTTTTTTTGTACTTCTAGTTTATTGCTCAGTGTTTGGGGGTGGTGGGATCAAATTCAAATCAAGATCTGAATCTCATCTTTGAGCTACTGCTGGACCCCATTTTGTAAGAGGTTGGAAGGACTGGAACACAGGGTGATGTGCAGAGCATGTATTTCCACCAAGGAAGACTTCCCACAGCTCTGGCCCCTGCCAGGATTTAGGGGTTCTACATTCTCCACTAAAGATGCATATTGTCCTTACCCAAGACTTCCTACCTTTCCTTCATCTTCCTCTCTTCAACTTCCTGTTTTTCACACCCTCAGCTCAGCACCTTGTTTTGTCTCCCCTCCTTCCATTACTGTTCTGCCTCCCTAACCTGCTCCATGCCTCTGCACCTGCTCCATCCTCTCTGGTCTGTAGCACCTGTTTGCAGGCAGGCTTGGACCATGGAACATGCCAGGTAGCTTGCTGTTGCCAACCTCTCTATAAAAGAGGAAAGAATTATTGTGGGGTAGAAGCCCACATATTGCTTTGGCATACGATAATTGAAAGACAGAAGAAAGGCTAAACAACCCAGATCTGAGAGGCTGATAGGAAACTAAAATTGTTTGGCCTGCCTGGGATTAGCCTCGTTAACATTTGCATTCTCGACAGTTTCATCCCACCTAAACCCAGGGAGCTGGACAAGTACCTTAATTAGGAATGTATTACTTTTTAACTCCCTCTAGAAAAAGAAGGGAAAATCTTTCCCGAGTGTTATTCAGCTCACCCTGAGCTCTAGCAACCCCCATCCCTCTACCCCATTCAAAAATGCCTCTCTTTCTTAATAGACCATTAAGGTAGCCTATGGCAAATATGCTCCTAATTTAAGTCCCTCAGATAAACTGGGGAAATCAGACCTTCACATTCAGCTTATGCCACACAGACCTTAAGTCTACATCCATAAAACTGAGGAAGAATGAGAGGTAAAAACCTACAGACAAGAAAGTGATGCAGCCGAATCCTATGTGATGCTTTTATACAGCCAGTTAACATAGTGCATGCTGTTGCATGAGCTGGCACCATGCATTTGCTTGTTGGGACATATGGTAAACAGAGAAGCCACAGCTCAGCTCAGTGCTACAGGCAAGAAACGTGCCGGTCTTTGTTTCTTACATCCCCGGAGACTCAGCCAGTAAGAAACAAATGTTGAGATGTCTGAAAGAAACCCACCAAAATGGGTCAAATAGTGGAATCAGGTCTCCTGCTTTTCAAGGAACATACACAAATACAGAAATTTTCTGCACCTGAGCAATATGCAATCTCGTGGGTTAAAAAAAAAAAAGAAAAAAAAAAATCCAGATAGGAAGAGCCCTGACCATTGGGCTACTTCCACCTGTGGATCAGCATTTTGTGTTCCAAACTCAATACCTGAACAGAAAGGAAAAAAAGCAGACCATGCCTTGGCTGGAGACAAAACATGAACTTAATGTGGTTTTTTTTTTCCAGGGCTGACTGAAAACATTTAATACCACTGCACTCAGAACAGTGAAGTGTTTTGGCATCCAGACCATTAAGAAAAAATTACCTGGTTCTGATCTCACAAATATGTAGAATAGTGTTAACCCCATTGAAGAAAATGGTGTTAGGCTGGTGTTAGGGTAGTTTTTCTGAAAAGAAATTCACCTTCTATTATTGGTGACCAAGATTATCCAGGTCTTACTTAATTTCCTATTAAAGTGTCCCATTTTTTAAATACCTATTTAATATGTAAAAATCCTCTGGCTCTGTCATTTTCTCTTCCACAGTTAGTTATTTTATTCTATTGACTAATGAGGGACCATTTATCGGCTGACAAGTTGAGGCAGGCAATAAATGTGTGGTCTTGAGCACAGGGATATGTTGAGAACTGAAGTGTTGAAGAATTACACTTCCCGTGGAAATCCTCAAAATAATAGAATCATAGAGGAATTGACACTGGAAGGGAGCTCAAGACATCACACAGTCTGAGCACTTGCTCAGAGAAGCATTACTTCCAATGTGAAGTAAGGATGCCCAGTGCCCTGGTAAGCTTTGAATGGAGATTCTATATCCTTTCTGGGCAAATTGTTCCAGTACTTGCCTGATACCATTCTGAAAATGTTTTTCATGGCACCCACAGCAGGTGTCCAATTATCTTGAACTGATTCAGAGGTAGAGTGCTTGCTTCCCAGATTTAAAAAAAAAAAAAAAATTAAAAGAAAATCAAGTCTTGCCTAAGCCTTTCTTTGGAAGAGATGAAAAAAGTAATATTTTTTTCTGGAAACTTTTTAAAAAAATGCTACAAAATTAGATGCCTTCTTTTTATCCCTTGTGAAAGTTGTTAGTGGAAGAGCAGTCTCTCTGGGAACTGGGGTAGCTGGAAAATCTATAGATACCAGAGCAAAATTAAAATTAAAGGGGCAGATAATGGAACTACTAATATTTTGGGGGGTTTTGGACAAATCTGTTGCAGAGTAACCTACAATTTTATGTTTTACACTCAGCACTGTGCATTGGAATTAGAACATGAAAAGTCAAGAGACATATAGCTAATTCCCAGCACATCAAATGACCAAGGTGGGCAAACTCTGGGAGAGTTTTGCAGCAGATGTCAGTGACAGGCACACACCAGTCCATCCAGATTTCTCACCTACAGAGCGGTATTATGTTTCTCCTGCAAAAATATAGATGCTTTACTTAATAGGGTGGCCAAAGGCATCTGAGTGATTTCTATTTCTTTAGAACACCTCCCAGAACCACACCCTTCATTAATGCTAAGTGGCTCTGTTGCCTGGGACTTTTGTCCTGTCATGCCCTCTTTCCACCTTGACGTATTTTTAAGCTTTGTGGTTATGGTGATCTAGTACACGAGATCTAGTTTGCGTGGGGATGAAATTATATAAACTGGTCTTAAAAAGGATACTTCCTAGAGTAATTTTATGTATTCTAACCATATTTAAAGCTTCTCCTTTGGGTTTCAGAGTACTCTGAAAGCTCTCATACGCTAGGAAATACTAAGTTTAAAATATTGTTTACTCTGTTTGAAGTCCCTCGGTTCCTACAGAATAGAAATACAATCTGTTCTTGATAATTTACAGGAGTTTTCCCCTTTATATCCTAATAGTTGAAGCTGAGATACCTTCCCCCACATTTACTAAACTGTAGCAATGTCTCTGAAACCTCAGTAGTCTGACTTCAACAATAAAACATTTTGACAGTGGTCAAGACAGAACTGAAGATGTTCCAAGATGAATATGTAGAACCAGTGGTAATGCAAAGTCTTTGAAGGATATTCTGCTTTTCCATACCAGGTCCTGATTTTTGAAACTGTTGCTCTATCTCATTCATGTGTTGGTTATGAGTGGCAGATCTATATACAGTCCTTTCAAATACCAGTCTTTGAATGTGAGTACATGAATTTTCTTTCAGGGCTGCTAAAAGCAGTGTGCTACAATTTGCGGTGGCCTCCTGAAGAGACAAAAAAAAGAATAATAATCCATAGTTGCAAGAGGCAAAATGACAAATCTCTGCTCAGCCACATACAAAGGCAATGCCAAAGATGAGAAGTCTTCACAGCTTGCATGTATAGCTAAAGTGGTGCTGTAATTTGCATCAAGCATTACATTATCTCTGCTGGGTCAAAGAGAATTGTGAAAAACTAAAACAGGTACACATGAGGTAAAAACTAGGTTGAGACTGGTCAGTAATTACTTGAAGTTAATTCTGGCCCTGTTACCTTCCGTTTCACAATCTCTGAGATCCCAAGAGAGTGCGCAAACCAGGAATATCACATATCAAGAGAGAACAAAACAGACAAGACAGTAGAAGTGATTCCCAAACCAGAGTTCCTCATGTACACTATACTCTTTGTCATACATATGCTGGGTTGTAAAAATAACTAACAACTCATATGCATCTTGCTGCATAGAAAAAGCATTGCTAGATTAAACAACAACTTCTGGAAAAAGGTTGCTCCATTTTCTCTTTGTTCAAATCCAAGGAAAAGATCCAAAGCAAAAGCTTAGGTCTACTACAGGCTTGTAAGCTACAGGCTCCCACTAACCCCATTTATTTCTGTGCAGATGAGTATGTGCTTCATTCAATCTTCATAATAAAGAGGCTAAAACTGGACATAACCAGTTTTGAATGGACAGATGTGGGAGCTGTGTGAAACTGGGATGGGAGTTCAGGAAGACAGGTCTGAAAACAGGCATTTCCCTCAGTCCTGAGAAGCATTCCCAAGATGCTTTTACCAAAGGAAAAGTAGCTACAGAAGCACTGAAGAAAAGAATGATTACCCTGGGGTCACTGGAGGAGTCTGTGTAGCATTTGAGCCCCTATTAGGTTTGTTATAGATCACATTAATTTCCCAGGTCTGAGACCTGAGTACTGAGCCCAAAGGAAATTCCATATCAATTTCTACTTTGGAGAGTTTACTTTTACAAGGAAGTTTTATTCCAGACTAGTTGAGTAATCCATAGGCCCTCACTTCATGGTAAGAGGTTACTGGATATTCAAGAGATTTCTTCTCGTAACTTCAAATACCACTTCTTTAGTTCAACTAATCACTTGTGAGTTTTTAATTTGATAAACTAACCACAGGGTCTAGACTTAGTCTTGAAGTACAGGACAATTTTACTTCCTAGGAATCACCTCTAGGTCTGCCCACAATGGTGGTTTGTGTATGGGGGTACCAGCACCCTGACGCCAGCTATATAGGTCAGCTGATGATGTACATGGACAGCACATGAAATGCACGACTTCATTAACTTGTAACTTCATTTCTTTGACAAAAGCATGCCTATCTTTATGCACAACTTTTAAAACTTTCTTTTTTATTTTTATATTGAGAGAACAATTAAACTCTGTAATTGGACACCTGAAGTTCTTCGGAAATCTGGGTTCACTTGTCTGTTCTTAAATTTATAAATGACTAACAAAAGACTTGATGAATCTGAGTTCTACTTACATATCATTGTTATATTCTCAACCCTTAGTTAGTAGATCCATGAGCAGTTTATTTTGGCTTAAACCCCACACTGCTTCTGAAATAAATTATTCCACTTTCCCACTGCTTGCTCCCACCTGCACCTTCTCTCCTGAAGCTGGCATCAATGTTGGTGCAGCTGCATGGTGAACCGATACACTTGCTTTGTAAAGTTTTTTTTGGCTGCTGCTAGACAGCTTTCAACAGTTACCACATTTGATGGCAAGGCTGGCTACACTAGCTGAAAGCGCTTGCAGAATTAAAAATGTTACACATGTACATACTATGGCATCAAATTCTTTTGTTAGCCTTTTAATACAAGGCCAGTAATCATTAGGATCAGGTTTATTGAAGTTTATTTATTGTTTCATTATGAATAAAAAGAGGTAATTGATAACTCATTATCTGCAATACTTTAAGGGTATTATGAATTTTTGCGAGACCTGTAAGTGTAAATTCTTCAAAAGGGACTGTAAATGTCCTCACTGCAGAAAGCACATAAAGCTGCATGAAACTCAAGCCTGCAGATACCACACTGCATGTATTAAGTAGACATGGTATGCTTCAAACTTTCCAGCTATTACTACTTCTCACGGTTTAGATATATAGGTTTAAGGGGACCTCACAAGATTATTTTTAGTATTAGCTATATATTCTGGCCAGCCAGGAAAACCTGAATTTCAGTAGTGGTTTTATCCCTCCATTTAAAACAGAAAGGCAAAGAGACATACATTTATTTTAATTAACATTCAATTTCCATTTGTATGAATCCTGCAAAATTTGAGTAAGGGACATCAGCGCTCTGAGAAAGACCAAGGTTTGCAATTCCCAGAGCCCTACGAAGTTGTTGTACATCGGCACAGAGTATGCTTCTCTCAAGCTGTGATGGGCAGCACATTTACCACACATTCTGGAGGCATTCTGCAGTGTATCTAGACTCATTGCAAAGGTGAGGAAAAGAAGGGCTGCTGATGTCTGTCCTTCAGAGCAAACACCAACCAGGAGCGAGTATGTGCAGGTCCTACTGCTGCCTGGAAAGAGAGGTTGCAGATCCCTGGCTGTGGGTATGTATATTTATTAAATAAAATTTCAAAAATTAAAAGTACTTATTCAAAATAAAAATCTGAGGATAGGAGAAGGCCTGACTAAGGAAGAGAAGGAGGCCAGAGGGCAGTCTTGAGGCTGAAATGTGCTGGGGTAAAACAACTGGGATATGCCCTGAATTTAACCAAAAAATAAACCAAAACCCAACAAAACAAAACAAAAACACCAAAAACCCCAAAAGAAAAAGGGTAACACCATATTTTACTCAAATAGGATTTATGATAGTAAATGTTTGTCTTTAGCTGTTAATTGGAAAAAAGTTGCCACAACTGCAGTTTTCCCTAATATCTTTACCAAGCATACCACTACTCAATCTCCATGGTAGCGATAACCTGGTAAATCATCTGAGTTAATCCACGGAAACATGATAGTGCTTCTGCTCATGGAAGGATTATACTGTTCTGTTAATTTTCATTTTAATTATTGAATAGCTTTATTCCAAATACAGTAGTGGATAAGCAGAAGCCTTTTAGGAGACTTTAAGGCTTATATCACACAACTTTCATGTTATTAACAAATTCAGATTCAGTTTGTGAAATCATCCATTTGAACCAATTTACCCTATGTATGTACTGAAGGCCTAAGGAAAAGAAAGTCTTTTAAAATCCATGTTCTCACTGAATATCTATTGGCAAGAGCAAGTTGATGAGGAAAATACCACACATGACCTCTGTAGTTCTAAATTTTTCCCAGAGTTGCCACTTCCCAGTACAAGGACTCTTGTGTATTCAAAGCCTGCATTCTGTTCACACATGTGCTACCCTATGTCTGGACTGATTGTCTACATCACTGCTTTCTCCTGTGCCACACTGGTGTCACTATTTCAATGTTGGTTTTAGTACCTGGGTCTCCATGTACTAAATATAAGAAAGAGTTCAACTATTAAAACTTTCTTATTTGGAGTTTTAAAATATGCAGAAGTGATCATTATTTAGACATGCACAGCAAATGCACAATACACCTACAAATTGATGGGACAATTTCAGTTAAGTTTTGATAAGATTTAGGTGTCTAATCTACTCCCAGATGATCCTCCTATAGTCAGTGAAGCTCTACAGCTGCCTCTAGACAGCAGGTATCTTAGGATAAGTATCAAAATTAGGTGGGTGTAAGACCTAATCTGCTTTCTAAAGATGTCTCTACCTCTTCATTAGCTATAGGAGATGCCTAGCCAACAAATTAGGACTCATTAAGTAACCCCTGGACAGCTAAAATTAGGTCAAAGTACTTCCATCCTTTCTGACAGACCTCAGCTCAGAACCTTCTCACAGAAACAGCTGCTACTGTAGCAGCTTTGCAACTTCTCTCCACTAAAGCTCCAGTTTAGTCTTTTATTTTTCATTTTTATCTTAGTTCTTGCAGTTCCTGTGATGCCTTTGAAATCTCCTATGAGTTGTCAGTACCACTTAGACTTAAAGAGACTGTGACTCAAAAGCACCAAATGGATCCTGCACGAAGACTGTCCAACAGCTTCACAATTCCTCTCAGGTATTCACACACCTATGGTGCTTGGAGTACTTCTCTGGGTTTTACTCAGCAACAAAGCTACATTTTCTGCATTATTTCTGTTGTCTCAGTGTGCATGCTGGAGTCCCAGGTTTCCTGTTATGCATCATTAGCTTTGTTATCTCTCAGGACATGGAAATTTTCTTTTCTCCTACGTTACCAGCTACACTGAGCCAAATTGAGGTCTGCCCTACGTTAAAATCACTTAGCCAGAATCCTTAAGATATCTTCCAGTGTTTCCAAGGCATTAGGCTTTTCAGTTGATCCTTGTTCCTGTACTGTATTTATGTTGGTCAATGTTCTTGGAGCTCAGCAGGGAAAGGAAGTGGACAATCTTGGTCCTGAATCCTCAGCCTAACCCACAGTACAGCACTCTTTGCTTTTTAAAAAACATTGTATAACTTCTACAAATGAAATGGGTGTTGACTGCATATTTTTGTGTATTTAATGAAAATTAGGATAAAACCTTGGGATTTTTGTTCTCCTTTCAAGGCTAAGAAATAATAATAAACTTCACCAACATTAAGAGAGTTCACTTACATTCCATTATGCAGACAGGTTAAGAATATTTTTTTCTTTTGAAATCTTAACATCCCCAGATCTCTCTGTGATTAGAATTCATTTCAATATTTCTGTTGAATGCAGAGTTTAGGGAAAGTAAAAATATTTTTGCCCTAAGAATAGAAAAAGAGTAAGACATAATTTGAGAACTATAACACTGAACAGTTCACTCTTTACTCTAGCTCTATAAGTACAATGACAGAGTGACCATTTATTGACATGTTCATTTCAGAAACAGACTACACATTGATCTGAAAATAAGATGTCAGCTGGTGCCCTCATGTGGATATGTGTGCTGTTATATTATAATAGAAAAAGAAAATTTTAGTCAAAACAATGCCATAGAAACTTTAGGATCTCAGTTTTGCACACAGAATTTGGATGGTTTGATTAAGGTATGCTTTCTCTATTTGCTAGCAATGCAGTCTATCCCATACTTCTTAGTTGTAAGCAGAATTTGCTAGTTGGATGGCAGATTGTAGCATGGCTTTTAACGTAAATATGAAGTGCAAAACTGAATTCATTCTTAACTGCGCAGTCACAACCTATCTTCCCGACAAGAACTATTGATTCATACTAAAAAGTAAAAGTTATCAGGTCACTGGCCTTCAGAACTAATCACATAACTTTTTTTTTCCCAGGGTCTTAAAAAAAAAAAATTCAACAGACTAAAATCTTTCTTAAAAAAAAAAAATGTCTTTTTTACTTACAAAGAAAGCATTCCAGTCATAAAGGAACACAGAGAAGAACTGAATAAGCACAGGCCACACAGGCTGATGGAAATAATTCCTGTTTAATCAACCTTAGTGGAAGACATTTTAAGTCAGGATCTAGCCACGTTTTTCTGGAAATGTGTGGAATAGGCGAGTAATGAGCATAAAACATGTCCAATAGGAATACTAATTCACTTTGTAGTGACTAATTCAGTCAGCTCAACACATCATTGACTATATGATGATTAACATCTGCAGACTGTCAGTAAGGCTACTACATAGAAAGTAGGTATGAGAGATATGGGAGGCATGGGAACACAGCATGAAGCAAACTGCAGCCAAACCCTGAGGCAGGGTCAGTGCAGATCTTCTCCTAGTATCTCTTGTGTCACTGTCTCTTTGGAGTGCTTACAAAAGTGTACACATTTTTCACTCTATTATCAAAAATGCTAAAGTTTAAGCGTAGAATTAATCAGCATTTTTAAATACAAGCCCAGTATTCTACAGAATCACGAAAAGACTGAAGACAAGCCACCTAGAACACTTTAACGTGTATCAAAAGAATTCAGCAGGTAATACAACCAGAACCTAAATCTAAGGTACACTACCATTTGCAGAATATCCTATCACAGTTATGCTGTGTGTACTCCCAGTATATGAAATACTGCTAAAACTTCAACAAAACTTCCATTTTCAAGTTGAGCAAAGCAACTACAATGGTTATAAAAAACTAATAAGGAGGGTACCCACGATCTGTAATCTGGTATGACAAAACTCAAATTCTGAACTGGTTAGTAAAGAGGTTGGTTTTATTTTCATCAGCCACCCACCGATCAGGTAACTCCTGTGGGATTTCACTGGCTTCAGCAAATTCATATTATGACATGTTTCTTACCTTGTGCAATGTTTCAAATCCTTACACATCATGATAATTAAAAGGCCAGCAATTTAATCTGGGAATATAAACTAAAACTGTACTTCTTATCTCCAGGCATTTCATGTCTCCCTGTGCTAGGTGCTTTGTAAAGGAGCACAGAAGCCAAGTGAAATACTACAGACAAGAAATTTCATCTTTCTAAATGTAGTATCAGAGACATGACCTGTCGATTGGGTAACATTCAAAATTCTTTGCCTTTACAACTACTTCGTTACATGAATTTGGGGCTTTTGTAGTTAATAATGAACTTCTGGAATTACAATTTTTTTCTTTATAATGACAGATAACACATTTAATATTTTTAATATTTAGATTATCCAGATCAAATGACAGCTGAGTAGACCAGTAAAAAGCACTTTAAAATATGAGATTCTATGGGTTAAAACTTGTGTTTTCCTTTGGCATTGAATGTTGCAGAAATAGTTTTTACCATTTATTTTTGAATGCCCTAATGCCGTTTCCCTGCATTCTTCAGAGCATGCTTAATGATCATCCAAACCCCCATAGGTAGCTTTATTTGAATGATGCTGGCATGCATGTTGGTTTAATATAACCTTTAGCTATCCTTTGGGGTAAAGGACAGTATGGAAATGAAAAGAGGTCATCTCTTTAGTAATAATGTAGCTGTCAATGGAAAAGGAAAATACTTTATGCAAAACCTGAAAATTTATGGATTTTTAAAAACCTTATTTAAGAAGTTACATATTTCACTTACTGCTGTTGTGCAACGAAAATAAAAAGAAATTCTTGTAGGAAAGACATGCCCATAAATGAGACAGTTGAACAGAAAGAGTTGTGTGCCTATGAATTATAGTTTCAGACTGCTTATACTCTGTATTCTTTCTCTGTATTTGTGCAATGAATTCGTACTGGAAGGCCCTCTTAAATTGGGTGATCTATTGGCTTAGGGAGCTAACGATTAATTCCAGATGTGGTCATGCTCTTCTAGCCCTTCAAAAAGTAACTACTGCACCATCTGTTTTGTAATAGACAATTTCAAAGAGTGCCAAGGGGAATGTTAAAATCATTGGTCAAATGGCCACATATACCTCGCACACAGGAATCCTAAAGGTCATAGTGCCTCAGACAGATTCATATTTTCACATTTTTCTCTCCATTGTTCCACCATGGAAACTAAAGGAACAGCTCTCCTTCCTCCCAAAATAGGAAGGAGATGTTTTCCAGATTATTACCAGCGTTGACATAAGATGAGGCCAAATTCAGAGCTGAATTCAATGGAATGACTGGAATCCATGGTGACATATCTCTTATACCTGCCACACTTTTGGAGCTCTGTAGATTACTCCAAACAGCTTTGGCTTTCCTTTCTCCCCCCCCCTTTTTTTTTCTTAATGAATTCACTAGAAGAAGAATAATGCTAAACTGACTTCAGATCTGGCTGGTTGCCCGAGATAAATAAAGGGTGCAACAGGTAATGAAGGGTTATTCCAGATCATGGTAATTTTTATTTTTCCTGGTTATTTCAGGAAGCTGGAAGTAAAGAAATGGTGTCTGTCTTCTAAATACTGTTATGCATCAATATCTACATCTCGGGTGTACAACAAAGATGCATGTCTAGGACCAACATAACTTAAATTCTTCACAACAGTAAAACTGAAGTAAAAGAATTTCTCCTAAGACTTCCTAAGCATAAATCTTAACATTAGAGCAGTAACTCATGATTTATACCTAACAGTCCTGAGAAAAAGTCTAAAATGAAAACAAAAGGAAACAGAAAATCTACTAGAGGTTAGACAATCACAATCTTTTGCAGTCCCAGAGAGTCACTTTTGCTGCAGTGACATTAAGTAAATCATTGGTAAAAAGGAAAAAAAGATTAACAGTATGTCTCCAGTTCATTCTTCTCGTTGTGTGTTTTCTTTTTTTTTTTTTCCCCCACTACATAGAGTCATGTTTTATACCAATTTTTGTAATAAGTTATTTTAAAAACAGCTTAGGACTTGCAGTCTACCCCACCTAACTTAAGTTTTGCTGACTTTGCTGTGTTCTATCCATTCAACAGCACACTGTAGAAACAGTGTAAGTGTAAGCTTAGTGTTGGGTATACTCCAGCTAGATAGTAGAGCTCAAAGTTTGCTGCTGGTAAGTAAAAAATAAGTTAATAGGAATCCTAACTGTTTGACTCTCTTTATTATTATTAAAATTGAATTTCTTTAAGTCATAGTCTATTTGGGTGGTGTAAGAGAATTCCATACAGTCAGATTAGCACTTTTTCGGTATTAAACATTATTAAAATAAAGGAAGGTTGAAAAGCAGAATATGAAATGTCTGCTTTGCAGGGCTTCATCACAGCTTCATCTCAGCATTATGAGAGGCTGACACATATAGTGGTGTGGGAGAATGCATACACACCTGTTAGACAAAGCAAAGGCCCCATGGCTCTGGACAAGATTTAATTTAAAGGGTAAGACTCAGTAAATAACACTTAAAACTAGATTACATACATTGTAGCTACTTACACCGAAAGCTGAAGGAAGAAAATGGCTCTGAAAGAAGGATCCAAACCAGAAAATATTTTAAGAGAAAATCACGTGGAGCTAGCCTATAGAAATCATAGAGACGGATTTGAAATCCCAGTCTCTAGAGAGCTAACGTATCTTCTCCAGAACTACAGAAACAGCTTCCATTCTTATGCAGGTGTCTCTACTCCTCAAAAAAACCCCACACAAATAAAGGAAAGCAATATGAACCGAAATTCACTCTTGCAAACTCAGCACTGTAGTAGTTACACCTCTCACTGAGGCTGGTATTCCTGGAAGAAGAGACCTCCAGAATGAAGAGGTATCTAGGAAGAGTTTTGGTTTACACATTCATTTTACACCTCAGCTTAATTCATGCTGTTAAGAACATTTAATTTCTCTGTGTATGTTCTAGAACATAGCTAACAGATTATCCTACTCTACTGCTGTCCTTCCTAGGCACAAATTCTGCCTTTAACTAAGGTCTGAAGACTGAGCCATCCTCTGAAAAATACTCCAGAATTAGCTTAGGTGAGTTACTAATTGGAGCTCAAATAAAGAAAACCCAGAAATTCACTGCCAGTAGCTCCTCTCTCCTTATTTCATAGTGAACCTAACTCTAAATTCAACCCTAAATACAAGGATAAATCTTTCAAAACTCACTTTTTTCTTAGAGGCTAATTTGCTCCAGGTAAGCCCAGCACTCAGTCACCTCACTTTAAGGACAGACAACTGTGGCACATCTTTTGCACAGGGCAAACATGCCAGCCACTTGCTAGCTGGGTCATATATACCTTTTCAAAGTAATTTATTTCATTTAAGATGTATAGATCCAAAATTAAACAGCCCAGAGAAGAAAGAAGGCAATCATTTTACTTACTTGACACATGCTGTCTTGGGGAGAGTTCAATTTGTAATAGTAGTAAATCATTTACAAAAAAAAAAGAATACAGTTTAAATCACTTATTTGTTCCACACAACAGAAGATTACCATGTGGTGTACAAACTCCATGGAAATAACAGTATTTCTAGGGCATATTTTTCTGGAAGAATTTATCACTGTAACTTTTGCTGCCTTTGTACTTCAGAGGCAAGAATTATTACATAGAAAAGTCTGTTTCTTAGCCATTTTTTGAAATGACTGGATAGTAATCCTGTATTTGAAGGTGCTTTATTTGCCCCCCCCCCCCCCCTTTTTTTTTTTCTGACATTATTGCATCCATATAGGACAGACGTTTTCCACCTGTCTGAATCACAGTAACCAATGACGATGTCAAAAACCAGTTTCCCTGGCTGACCTGGCAGGAACAGCTCTTCTTTTATTGTTGTAGGGTTACAAGTGTTACCAGGCAAGCACAGAAATAACCCTGGCCACCCACAAAAATGCAGTTTTGCAGTACAGCTGCTGTGGGCCTGGCCGCAGCATCTACCACATACTCCATGCTGTGTTCTCCTCCTGCGTGGTGCACAACGGCAGGAGGCTGGACATTGTTCCTCCACCACGTGTCCATGCAGGGAGCTCCTGATGGTGCATGATCGGCCAGGGAGAGACAGATGCCACAACCACCTCCACACTGAAAAACAGCCTAACCCAGAATCCTGTATCAGCCTTTTGGAGGGTCTTTAGCTTTTACATGTTATGTATACCTATTAAGTGCCTGTGTGGTGCATGTATAACATGCGCAGGGCAGTGGACACGTTTGAAACCACTTGCAACCCCTACGCACTCTGCAGACAGAACCCATATGATAACCCGTCTTTAAGCAAAAAACTAGAGGCTGCGTTTGGGCGACAAACACACAGCCTCTCACCTTCTGCTCTCCCACCTCCGACTCACACCTCTGTTACCGTCGGTGCAAGGGAAGCGGCGCGATCCCGAGCTGCACCACACCGCTGAGGCCGGGTTAGCCCGCCCCGCCCCGACCCTACCGGAGCGAGGAGGCGCCGCGCTCCCAGCCTAGGCCGCAAGGGGCGGTCCGGGCACGACGCCTCTCGGCCGGGCGCAGGCGCCACCGTGAGCCCGCGGCGGAGGGCTACCCGCCCGGCGACGGGCCTCCATGCGCTGCCAGGTACGTGCAGCCGGCCGGTACCTCTGGGGAGCGGGCACCGGCTGCAGGAGAGGCGGGTGCCGGGGGAGGGGGACGGCGGGGCGTACTCAGCCCCGCTCTTCAGCGAGCAGAGGCGCCCGGCGGGCGAGGCCTGCGCGGCGGGAGCAGTACACGGTTCCGCGCTGACAGACACCCTCCCTCGGCCCTTTCCCATGCTCTTTCTGGCAGCCGGGGGAACGCCACACAGCTTTATCGGTATTAAAAGAAAAGCAACCCAAACCGACAAAACCAAACCCAGGGAAAGCTTTTCCTCACTCCTGTTTGGTTTCGGTTGTTTTGGTATTATCGGAGAAGTTAACGTGCAACAGCGTTGTTTTCCTTCGGTAGGCCCCGCTCCCCTGATGCCGTTTGTTCCCGGGCAGGTCTCGGTGTTGTATTTCGCCCGGAGCGCGGAGCTGGCAGGGCTGCGGAGTGAGACCCTCTCGGTGCCACGCGAGATCACCGCGCTCCAGCTCTGGGAGGAGATCGTCAAGTTGCACCCCAGGTAGTCGGCAGAGCTGGTGCCGCGGCTTCTTTGGTAAACACAGGTTCAGCATTTGGAGTTGAGCTGGAACACGTATCAGTACTTCGGTACCATAAACCCAGCGTTACCTTGTTCTCGTAACCTGCAGTAAATGTGCTGTGTTTTGGCCAGCTGGAAATGCTGTAGCTTTAGGTATAAACAGGGAAAGGCTAGGTCCAATAAATGTAGACGAAAGTTAAGCCTGAGGGGTACCTTGAGGCATGTGGCCTGTTGTCTAGGAGGGCCACAGTGTGGTAAACATGCTGCATGTGAGAACTGAGCTGTGTTATTAGCCTGTGGAGAAGGTGAGATGGCTCAAGGAAGAATCAAACACAGCCAGGGCAATAAATAAGAAATTAATAATAACAAGCAGGTGTTTTTGATCACTTACATTTAATGTAACTGTTAGCCATTGGTCTGAGCTTACAGCATGCTCTAGAAGGCAGGTCAGGCAAGGAGCTGAAGCTCTGCCACAGGTTTTCAGCCACTTACACAGTAAATAGGCTTGGCCACTTTTTATCTCCTCTGCTTTGAAAAAACCGCACAAACACCCACTGCTGGTGGCATTTCGTAGCGAGTCTGGTCCTGAGAGTGCGCCGGTGTGCACTGTAAGGACCCATGTAGCACTTACTGCTGCTCTCTGGAGGTGTCAGCAGAAATTCCCCCTCAGGTTAAGGCTGAGGGAAAGTGCTCAGTCCTGTCAAGAATGAGTCTGACAGACAAAGGGACAAACGTGTAACACTGTTCTGGAAGGTGGAGTAAAAAAAAAAAAAAAAAAGCAATAAAAGTATGGTATAACAGAGGTTGAGGTCCTCAGGATTTAATGCTTAATGCCTTGGAATTTCTGAAACTTTGGACTTAGGTGTCAGAGTCTTCCTTTAGGCACCACCATTTTTTATTTGGCCTGCTCTCAAAGGCAATGAATAAAATTAACCATTTATCAATGCCATCTGTTTTCAAGTGTCATGCTCTAACCAAATGTTGGGCCAGGGACCTTTTTCTTACAAAGAACTGAGTCTAAGTGTGGTTTTAGGGAGGAGGCAGTAGGGAGTGTATGTATTTTACTTTGCATCCTGTGTATTTTACTTTGTGTCAGAAGCCGCAGCAGCACCGTTTGTCAGTTTGCCATAGTTTGTCAACTTTGTCCTTTTATGAATGGTGACTTGGGGCAGTACATTTTGCATGTGCATATACTTCACAGTGGCCTTCTTGGAAAATGCTTCTGCTTCTAGCTTTTCTGGAAAACCTCAACTTAACAGTAGGGTATTGACCACAGACTTCTATTCACATTGCTAATAGATATTGAGACTGCAGCTTGAGCATACTTGACAATGCTTTTCTGTTCCACCCATTTTCCCCAGTGAATTAACTCACAAATGACATTAATTAGAGCCCATCCTTCTAATGGGCACTTCAGTTTCATAGCTGAAACACAGTTTCTTAGTGGCTTGCTTTACTTCCCTACAGTCCTACTCTTCCCCCTGCACTCTGAGACAGTGCTACTGTGTTTTGCACAGCCTGTGCCTTGCCTACTTTTGTCTATCTGGCTGGTAGGAAATAAGATAATTTTTGCTTTTGGCATGCCTGCTTGTTTCTAGGCGATACAGCTCTCTGCTGTCAGTGTGAGATTTTGGAGTCTCAGACAGTAGCAGTTACCACACCTGCACCTTCTAAAGAAAAACGTTTGCATTCTTTTTCTGGTGTCTTACTGGTGTTGCCTTCATATTCACCATTTGACTGCACTTGGTCATGAAAGTGAGTCCATGTCTCATGGTATCCAGAGCTGTAGACTCTCACAGCAAGGTCTCACAGATGTGAAATCCAAAATTATGTAGAAGATCTGCCAGAAAACACACCATATCTGCCTTCTTAGTTCTGTAGCCACTCCTTATTAATAGTAAATTTCAGACCTGTAAGTACAAAAGACCTAAAGCCTCATAAACTGTGAGGTTGTACAAGAGCAACTGTCTGACTAGTGGATCTTCATGAGATCTCACAAACATCATCCCATAATGCCTCTTGCCATGTAAGAAAATTGCTGTAGTCCAGCCAGGCTGAATCAAGGGAGCATTTCCTTCTGATCCCAGATTGGATTATTGCTACCTCTTGAGTTGCCTACTTTGCTAGAAGCTGCTGAAGTGCTGAAGTGGGGTTGGTATGCATTGGTTCATTCTGATGCAGGCCTTTGACAGATGCAGTTCTTGACTTCTGAAAGTTACACTGAGTTGGTTTCTGCATAGCCACCACAAGAGAACCTGAGTAGGAGGTGGGTGTTTGTTGTATTTTTGAAAGTGTATTGCAGGCTGGGTTGTGTAAGTCTTAATGCTGTTTACCTCAGCGGCGCTAGATAGTGCAGCACTTTGCTGTTTAATGAAATCTCATGTTTAAATGCAAACACTCTATTTAGAAATCTATTTGTGCTCCTGCCAATTCCCTTCAGGCTTGCTGTCATCCGGGATCAAGTAGTTTTTGCTGTTAGGCAGGAGTACGTGCTTCTTGGAGATCAGCTCCTGGTCCTGCAGCCTGGAGACGAGGTTGCCATCATCCCACCAATTAGCGGAGGATGAATCTACCGAAGTTCTGTTAAGTAAGTATCACTTCTTGCTTAGTTTCCTGTGGAGTGTCATCCTGTGCTAAAATATGTCATGGATTCTATGTAATGTTCCAGTAATTTATTTATTTTTTATTTTTGTTTAGGTCCAGAGATGTTATTGCAGTTCTGTCCCTCCATATTGATACTCTTTTGAGAGAGCATAACTTGTTTTTCCTGCTGCAGAAAACGTTGACCAGAAACCACAAGTTAGTGCACCAGTAAATGATTAACACATAAACGGTAAATGAAAGAAAATTGCCAGAGAGGTCAGTCATTGCTTTGAATTTGGGTTTTAGGTCTTGCTATTCTTTTGCAGTTGTTTCTGTCTGCCAGTGGATATGCAGCTTGCCAAGTAAGATAATAATGAAAAACCTCATGCCACTTTTTTAACAGAAGAGATGATACAGAAAAGGAAGTGACTGCTGCATTCTTTTTATTTTCTTTATTTTTTTTTTTGAATTTGCTGTCAAAGGAACAGGTGTCCTTAGAATAGCTTCATTTCTTTGCATGCATTGAAGTGGCAGTCCATGTATTTTTGAAGTCCCTTCTAACCCTAACAATCTGTGATTTACTGCAGCTTGTTCCTTTCCTGCTGCTCAAAATACTTTGTGTCCTTCTCATTCTTACATGAACTGATGACTGGTTTCTGCTCAGAGAAATTAGAAGTGTCTCCTGTGTCACTGGAACAGACTGATAATATGAGGTCATAAATGTCCCGGAGAGGATTAGAAGTCAAATTCGTATTTATCAGAAATCTGTATTTTAAGTTTTGTTTGATTTCTGGATAAGATAGGGAGGAGGGGCTGATAGTCTTGCCACAAATTTACTAGCACAGTGGTCCATGCTGGTTGATTGTACTGTTAAACTGAGGCCTCAGACTAGGTCTAGTTTTGTTCTACTGGAACAGGCTTTCTTATCAGGAAAGAAACTTGTTTGCCTTAAAAACCAGGTCATTGCTTGATATTTGCAGTTGCGGCAAGGCTGCTGAGAAGTGAATTTGCCGTGGAGACTGGTCTCTTGAGGCAAGGAAGAAGATGGTGCATGTTTTCTGTATAAATTGAGGCATCAGCACTGAATATAAAGCAGTTGGCCAGCACTAGTATTGCCAAAACCAACAACAGAGTTTGTCTGGTTTCAGCTTTTCTAGTGAGCTATGGATGAAAGCAAAGATGTGCCAAAAGATTTTATCAAGCTCAAGTCTGAAAAGCTCTCTGTAGATGAAGTGTCAGAGCTGGTCATTTCACCATGCTGCGGGGCAGTGTCTCTGTTCATTGGTGAGTTTAATATTTCTGAGCTGGATCTTTGGATGTGTAAATATTCTAATTGTGCACACCCCAAACTCATGCTTCTCAAATAAATAAATTCCTGGACCAAACCCAGGATGTTTAGAAAACACGTTCTGAATTATTTAGAACAAGACCATGGCAGCTCTTGAACAGTTGCACTGGGACAAAGTGGTGAGAAGCTTTCTTGCTGTTTTGGCTGTCCTAGGGCTGAACAGAACAACAGCTCTGGACTACAGGATTGCCTGGGAGCTTTTTTTTCCACACCATTGGCCATAACTTTTTCAAGGTGTGAAGTGGGATGTTGTGGCTAAGCAGATCACAGGTCCAAGCCTGTATGAAAGCTCCTGCAACTCAGGTCTTGGTCGAATGTAAACTACCATTTTACCCATGGGAGGGTGAAGGTTAAGCTTTGGTGATAGCTCTGTCCTGTTGCTTAATGTAAATGGTACTCATCTAGAAACCCTTTTGTGTTTAAACCGTAGTGCTACTGGTTTTCTAACTACTGAGCGCTTAAATGTTACATGGGCAAATGCAGTAATAGCACCTTAGCTGTTGCCACAGGAGATGTCCCAGCCTTGGGCATTATAGACTGCAGATTTGTATAAACTAAATTCTTCCTTGTCTATTAAAGATTTCTCTTGTTCAAAGAATCTGTTTACACAGCCATGATTAGGGGAGGTTTTCTGTACTTGCACAGTGCTGATCTTGACTGTAACAGAAGATCCAGGGTTTTATTTGGTATTTATATGTAATATATTATTATATAATAAATGTGTAATGTATTATAAACATATATATTTATTAGTGCTTTTGGTTGATAAATCATTTTAGGTACTACAAGAAATAATTTTGAAGGGAAGAAAGTGATTCACTTAGAATATGAAGCATATATGTCAATGGCAGAGACTGAAATAAAGAAAATCTGCAGAGGTGTTAGACAGAAATGGCCGTCAGTCAAACATATTGCAGTGCACCATAGACTTGGGTATGTATGGCCAGACCCCATCCTTTTGCATGTGGAATATTAATCCTTGTGTGGTGTGTGGCTGTGATTACATAGTTGCAGGATGTGCAGGAGTCTTTTATAAACTGTGATGCAGCAAAGCTGGCTGTAGAATCAAACTTGCACTGTGAGATAAGTTTTAGAAATTGTCTTTTCAAAGATGTGTATATGGGTAGCGTTTGCTGGAGTCCACATTTAGCCAGCAGGATCCTTGATGCTGGTGTGATAGTTTGCAAGTGGGGAGAAGGGACTAGATTTCATTCTAGGAAAGGGGAGGCTGTTGGTTTATTTGTTTATTTTTTTAAAGATGTGAAGTTGGCAACACTTTTTTTTTTTTTTCCTCTTTTCCATTGAGGTACCACGGAATGTTCTTATTGTCAGATTTAAGTTAAATTATGCCATAGGGAAAGCTTAACACTGGGAAGGGGAGAGGCATGGTAATTGCCAGCCATGTTTGCTGGAGAGCCTCCTGTTGTTCCTTGAGTCTTGGATAAGCATTTTCTCTTGGGTTCAAAACATACAATGCTAGTGTCTGACATAGTCTTGAACCTTCACAGTTCATTAGATTTCTCACTGAAACTAACAGGGTATGCAGAGTATGTTACAAGCACTTGTTTCCTTTTCTCTCAGCAGAAGGAACTTGAGGTGATAATAATGGATAATATTAGCTCTGAGGGATAGTTTCTTTAGATTTCCTCTATAGGCAACAGAGGGAGTGATTCTCTTGAGGGCTGAAAGCATTTAAACTTAGATTTTCATATGACCTCTTTGCCAAAGGAGTATTACTATAAAGGGGTGGTTGGTAGGCAACTCTTGGGGATATTACTCTTGTGAGGCACAAAACAAAATCTTGTGCTAGTTCTCTTAATAACACACCAAACAGGAAGAACTTCATAATTTAGAACTCAAATTTGTCAAAAAGTTTTCATTGCAAAATCTGCATAGTTTGAAGCACTTAATTTCTGCTTTCACAAATTCTTGTGCAAACTGAGATGATTTCTTAGGTTTTCAGATAAGAACTGGCTGTTCCTAACTAGTTATTAAGCCAGTATCCAGTGAGTTTCCTATGTCCTTTTGCAAGTTAGTGATTTTCCCCACTTAATTCCATAAGTTTTATTATAATAAAAAAAAAAAAAAGAATGGGAGAAAAAAGCCTGTGTCTGGTGGGTTTATTTATTCTGAATTGTGGAATTCTCACATCTGGTACTGATTTTGGTTGTGGTTTTCTTTCTTTTAAAAAGTGTATAATCTTGAACATGGCTTGACACTTGCTCAGTATGAATGAGTCAGGAGAGTGTGTGGCCAGAATACTGACGTGACATGGCCACAACTTTTGGGTGCTCTTGATGTTAAGCATTAGCTAAAGCTGCTGTTGTTCCTCTTCTCTCCCTAGTGTGGTTCCAATAACTGAAGCAAGTGTAATTATTGCAGTCTCCTCTCCACATAGAGCAGAATCCCTTGAAGCTGTAATGTACTGCATCAATACCTTAAAAGCATCCGTCCCAATATGGAAAAAGGTATGTTTGGGGCAAAACTTGATTTTAGGCCTGTGTCAGAGTCTTGGACAGTTGGTCTGAAGGCTGCTGCTGCTCTGAAGGGAATCTGCTGAAGCATTGCGAGCAGCAGTTGCTCCTGATGGATGCTAAATGTCTAGCACCAGTGGATTTCCTCTAATGCAGCCAGATGCACCTGTGGCAGGTGGGCATCTAGAAGGCCCTCCCTTGCCTGTACCATCCAGCTCATCTTCCTTTAATGTCATCCTGGGATCAAAGAGAAGGAGCCCTGAGGTTTTCTGAGTGGCAGAACACAGTTCTGCACAGGCTTGTGGAAGAGCTTTGTGTCAGATTTAAGAGCTTTGAGTCAGATTTGCTTTTGACAGCATTGTAGTTTGCAAGTAAAAGTGGCTTTCTTGTATTTCTGTTTTCTCCTCATCCCTGTGGCTTTGAGAAAGCACAAAGCATTAAGCAACAGCACATAATGAAGGGATGAGCAGAGGTCCCAAAGCTAGTATGGGCACACAACAATGTGTGAAGAGACCAGCCTGGGTCTAGAAGAGCCTCATTGTATAACCACAGTATTGCATGCAAATAATGAGTCTTATCTCTGCCTTCTCTCCCAGGCAGAATTTGCCATGGGGTAAGTGTGATGTTCTCCTCATTACTCCACTTTTCTGATGCTTCTTTCAGGAGACAGGTTGTTCTGTGGTCCCAGAAAAAATAAGCAGAGGCTCAGAGCCCTGCTGAATTTGCTGGGTAGGACTGGACTGCTGCTGGGAAGTCCTGGAGGTTAAACACTCACTGTGCTTTGTGTATTGTAATTTTTATTTTTTTAATACTGACATCTTATATAGACTTAAATGATCCCTGTAAGTGATGGTACAGTAACATGGCAGCATGCAAAACGGGCAGTTTCAGATATGAGTGCTGTAGACTCTACAGCTTTTATATAATTTCTTCTAGATCTCTTTCTTGAATTGACTTCAGTACGGATGAGCCCTCCTAAATTTAATAGGGCTCAGCCTGAGGGTCATAATCTGCTCGCATGTAAATCGGTATGTTCTAAGGGTGCTGCCTTCTTTTCTATTTGCAATGCAAGTGCTGTATAGTCCTGTTGCGATCAGTAAATAATAGCAGGATGGCTGTTGAGTTGTTTGGCCTGGCTTGTGGCTGTATGTAGCAGACTCCACAATATTTCCCATTCTTTGTTTGTATTTGCAGGAGATTTATGAGGACGAATATTCTTGGAAAGAGAACAAGGAATGCTTTTGGGCAAATTCAGAAAAATAGCTTAACTCTTAAAAATAAAGTGTTACTGTTTCTAATGAGCATGATTTAGCTTTGAGTTGTTTTTACAAAGAATCTATATATTTTTAAACAGGTGTACTAGACATTTCAATCAGTAATTTGATTAGGACTAAATGAAATAAAAGAGTACTAATTAGGTGTTCTTAACTCTCCTTTGAGACTATCTCTGTGCATTTTTGACATGGAGTAATTTTTTAATAGAATTTACCTAAAATTCTTGGTTGTGAATTGTTTTGTCTTCTGTGATACATACTGCTTTAATGGGTTTACATTGGTAGTCTTTGTTCACTGACTGTATGGGAGGTCAAAACAGGACAATCATGGGTTTGGGTTTTTTTTAATCTTAAATTCACTAGTAGTTTAATTTTATATGACTGTAGAGTCATTTTGCAAGCTCTGTGCTGTTTTGACATTCTTGTAACATGAAAGCTGCTTGAAGTAGATGAAACATTTTGGTACAGAGAAGCAAATACAAACTATTCTCAAGAGTTATTAACTTTTTAGTAGTGGTTGCACTCCAGTAGCTCTGTCTCATGGCAGCATTTTTACTGTGCAGCTCATGCTACAAGTCTGTTGCATTAAAAAAATATGGATAGACCTTGATTCAAAGTTAGATCAAATATTCTACCAGCAGCAAACTTGCATTAGCAATAATATGCAAACCTGTAACTGCTTGATGATGTCTAGACATGATTAATTTCGAAGGAGATTTTTTGGCTGTGTAATTGTATGGTGCTGCAGAAATAAAAATCCCCCAGCTATTACGATAAATAGACGACTATAAGTTTAATTAGTTGTAGTAGCTCAACTTTAGACATGTTAGGATTCAAAGTCATCAAAGTGGATTAGTTTTTTAAAGGAAAGCAAGTCTACTGAACTTCTTGCAGTTTATATATGCATTTACATACACATTTAGGATTTTAATACAGTTCTCCTCTTGTTAATGTTTTGAAACCTAGTTAAAAGATAAAGAGACTGACATAATATGCCTGTGCTTCCACTGGAAATAATGGGCTGCTCATCTGAGTAAGAGAATTTTATTTACGTTATTCGCAGAATGACAGAATGGTTGGAGTTGGAAGGGACCTCTGGAGGCCATCTAGTCCAGCCTCCCTGCTCAAGCAGGGTCACCTAAAGCACATTACTCAGGATTGTATGTTATTTTAATGTGCCATGATAGTGTTTCAGTGCTGAGAGTTCAAAGTCCCATTGTGTATGTCATTTTTACTGATGTTGAGAGACAGTTTTATCTGTCATTATCAATGTAGACAATGTAGACAACTTAGATACAAAGCAAGGGAAATGAGGTAAAGAAAAGTAAAAATATCTGCTCAAGTTTATATATGGTTACATCACACAACACTTAAATCTCAGCTGTGTAACCCATTTTGTCTGCAGTAAAAATCTACAAACAGCTGCTAGCTATACAAAATAAAATGAGAAAAATAGGTGATGATCTTTTTTCTCCCCAGTGATTTAAGTCAGTCTTAATATTTAGTGATGGTTACTGTATCTGAATTAAATAAGTAAACCCCAATGAAACATACAACTTCAGGCAGAAGCATGGTTAAAAGTGCTTATTAACTTATTGATGTGCTTTCCTCAGTGAAGTGAGAGTCTTTCCTCTGCAGGACAGCCGCTGCTCCTTGCATGCTTACACATGTGCAGCCTCCAGACAGTGTGGGCCTTATTATCTAAGCATAGCTGAGCAAATTCAAAGTTGAATTTTCCTTTGCTTTGGAGGCTGGAGGGAAGCCCTCTGCTATTTGAATGACATTTGTACAGAATCCTGAATACACAGTTCTTGTATGTCCTGGTTTCAGGACATAACTATCAAGTAATTCTTTCTGGTTTTAGAAAAGAAATAAATACACAAACTTTGCCATTTTTGGTATTCATATTCTCATGTTCATGTTTGTTGTTACTATGCGACTAATTAGCATACAAACTTCACAAAAATAAATGGCTAGCTTGCCTTGTAGTGGACTGTTCATAAATGAAGTAAAACCTGTGCAGTGCTTGCATACTGGTGCTGTGCTCTTATACAGAAAAATAGTGGTATTAAAACCGTTAAATTATACTCAGGCCCCTGTGACCAAGGGCAGTTCCTGTGTTGCACTAGTGTCTCTCTACTGCTGCAGCCTCCTGGAGTATTTCTCCAGGGTGACCTTAAGTGCACCTTCTCCATCAGCAATGCAGCTGGGAAGGAGGGTGCAGAAAAGAAGGGAAAGAATAATTGTGTACTTCCCCGCAGTGACCAGCAACAATGAATGGAAGACATGTTGTACTGAGTCACAGCTGAGTGTTACAATGTGTGTACACTGCCATGGTCAAAACAATGAAATGTCATTTTGTGTCCCTAGCTGTGCATGAGGCAAGTAGTGCTTTGTTCTGGAACAATGATGTATCAGTCTTGTGTAACTTTGGGTTCTTCAGCTGGCATCTAAAAGCGAACTGGAAATACCCTTAGGAGGGATGATGTGCATAATCAGAGGTAAAATGTATCTCACTGAAATTTTAAGTCCATGCCTCGAGCTCAGTGTACTGGCTCCCTCTGTAGGGCTACTCTCTCTGCTAGGGTATTATTGTAAAACAGCAGATTACTCTTAAGATAGCTGCCTAAGGCTGTGTCTGGAGCGACCCAGAAGTGCTTCCAAATTTCCAGGCCAGGGGATGAATCCCAGCTGTGTCTGACTGCGTGTCAGGGAAGGATGCAGCTGCACATGTCCTGGTTTCCATACATGCAGGACTAGGCTGCAGATGAGGGGTAGCTTGTGTTCTGGTGAGGTCCACAAGTGGGATGATAAGCAGCTGCAAATCCATATATAATGAATGCAGTCCTGGCTTTCTGGGATGAGAGCTGTTTCTCTGCCTTGGCTATGGGGGTTGGGAGGGGAGGGGTAATCCCAACTTCTCTGGGTTTCTCCCAGGTGTGTCACAGTGTGCTGCAGAGGTGGTGGTGGCTCCAGATGTAGACAGATGTTCCAGAGACCAGATGCTTAGGACCGGAGGATCCTGTAGCGATCTCCCAGATGAGGGGTGTTTGTGGAAAGGAAGAGCATGTCTTCAGAATGAGAATTTTTCCTTCTGAAGAGAAGTCTTGGTCTTTGCTGGCAACATATGAATGCACTGATCCATCCCTTTCTCTGGCAGAACGTCCATATCTCAACATAGCTTAATTTTAAGAATTGCCTTTCCTGATTTCGATCTTTTATTCTGCTCTGTTCTCAAGAGAAGCTCAGCCTGATGCATGCTATGAAAACAGTTACTGATGGATGGTCAGGAAATAAAACAGGGAGGGTGACGGGATTGTGTTATGAGGAGCCTACCCAGGAGATGGCAGCCGAGAGACGGCTGTGCGGTAGGAGCCGCTCCCAGCCTGCCCAGGTGCTGGCTCTGCTGGGAAATAAAGGCGTTGGCTCCGGCTGTCACTCACCGAAGTGTCACTGTCGCACTCAGCAATGAAGCCTTTATATTGCTCAGCTTCAAATGAGATTTTCGGCTCTTCCCTCACCTCGCTTTTCCCACAGCCGTTCAGAGAATCTGTACTTTTATAAACTAATGCATTTATTTGCTCCATCAAAAATATTAAAGGAAAAAACTGCTAGAACTAATTACTAACAAAGTGAAACTGTGTGTGAAAGCAGAAAGTGCAACCCCTTCCCTCTTAAAAAGCTCTGGAAACTCACTGGAGCTCTTCCAGTAAGTGTCCTGTGGAGGCACTTAAGGAGAGAGAGTTAAGAATAGGTTGATGACTATAAGTCAGAAATTTGAGTACCTAAGGCCTGTCTTTAAAAACAAACTAGTCAAACCAACCATACAAGTTCATCTTATCAAGTGGTATGAATGTTTGCATCCTAATGCAGGTCTGTTTTAAAACTTCTATTTTGACTGCTTTAAGAGAAAGAGACAAATACCTTTTAAAGACTTAGTACAGCAAAGCCTGTGATTGCATATTAATAATTGATCACAAGTGAGGGCAGAAATGTTGACTTACAAGATAGAACTTGGCTATTCTGAGGCTGTTAAAACTATGTACACTAAACACAATAAAAAGTTACGGCAAGTAGCTACAGATTTTGAGATTCATTTTCATACTTCATTTTCTTTAGTTTTTGATTTTAGAGTTTTTGTTGTACCTCAGTTTCGGATATAAAGGGTACTACATTGTCAGGGTTTAACTCCAGCCAGCAGCGAAGCCCCACACAGCTGTTCACTCAGCCCCCCCGGTGGGATGGGGAAGGGAACTGGTCTAGTAAAAGCAAGAAGCCTTGGGCTGAGATAAAGACAGTTTAATGGATAAGCAAAAGCCATACACGCAAAGCAAATGAGTGTGTTGATTCACTGCTTCCCATGGTTGGACAGATGTTCAGCTATCTCCAGAAAGTAGGGCTCTGTCATGCATAACAGTTATTTGGAAAGACAAATACCATCCCTCCAAATGTCTCCGCTTCCTTCCTCTTCCCTCAGTTTTATATACTGAGTGTGATGTCATGTGGTGTGGGATATCCCTTGAGTCAGTGGAGGTCAGCTGTCCTGGCTGTGTCCCCTCCCAACTCCTTGTGCACCCCCAGTCTGCTTGCTGGTGGGTTGGTGTGAGGAGCAGAAAAGGCCTTGACTCTGTGTAAGTACTGCTCAGCAGTAATTAAAACATCCCTGTGTTACCACAGGGACAGGACATGCTACTGGTGACCAATTCTGTACATATTATAAAGTGCAGGGCATAAGAATGGCAAAATGCAGTGTCATTTTAGATGCCAGTGATGATAACCCCATGTATATAGGAAGACCTGACCATGGTAAGGTTTTAACACCAACTATTCAACTAGACCTATTCAAATATAGATAGTTTACACTACTGTGAACTGACTTAGACTACAGTATAGCTGACCAGTAGTGTTATACTCATGACTGTAACAATCAAGGCGTGAAGTGCAGCTTCTTTGTATATCTAGCAGAGTCATCCCCTTAGGATTTTCATTATGTGCTACTGGAACAAAGACATATTTGGCCCCATTTTA